ATCTATGATTTCCTATTTTTGCTTGGGTCCTCAAATGATCTAGTAATTTGGGTTTTGCTTTATTTTTGATGGCATTCATCAGAGAGTGATGCTATTATGGAACAATAGCAGTATGTGGGTGAAGAAATACTAGAGATATACTGACTTCATGTTTTTCAGCTTAACTGCATATAGTCAGAGCAATCTCTTCTTTTACATACTTTGTTTTAGGGGACGAAATATCCTTCCAATATAATACGTACTAGAATAAAAGAAAAGAAAACATTTTACTGCATCACTCAATCAGTTAATACATTTGCTATTAAAATATTGTGTGCTTAATAGCTCTGGTGCTGTTTTGCTAGGGTAGCTCTTGATACAGATTTAGGTTTTAAAATGGTGACAGTAGCTCAACAATTTCCCAACCCTTGATCTACTCCTTTATGGATATGTACTATTGGTCAATGAATATCTCTACCTTTATGTATGGGAGATGTTACCTTCTATCTTGTTAAAAAGGATTCCCATGCACTCTTTATTAATGCTCCATCCCAACTGGCCAGTATATTAATAATCACACTGTCACACATGGCATGAGGGAATAAAGTCAATTTGTTGACTTCTTTGGTTAATAGAAAGTCCTGACTACCTTATTTTAATAATCCACCACTTATCACATATATGATTGTATTCTCCAAGGTTTTACTCTGTGTGACGAGACCAATCTCGCCACATTGCATTGGAGAAGCCTGGTTGCTCGCCTGCTGCCTTTGGACTATGGCCCCCTTTTAAAAGACTTTATTTTGCCTGCAGAAAAGCTGTATTCGTGCTTTTCTGCCGGTTGTTCGGTAGTTTCAATCTACCGAACAACCGCACGAATGAATAGACCACCTGGGAGCTGGAGTGTGCCGGCAATTAACCTCCCTGAAGCTGCGGTTAACCGCAGCTTAATTGATGAATGCTGGGTGGCCGCCATTCGTATCCCGAACACGAGGTCGCGGCCATTTTAAACCATACGAATGAACAGCGGTGTTCTCCTCTATTTTCATGGACCTAAAATCGGACACAGTTTTGCGCGAACACCGCTGAAGCCGCCGACCTCCCTTCTTGTTCGGTGAAAGTGCACGAACGGCCCGGTGTTCGGTATTTTTGTTCAAATATGTTATACCCCAGATAGGAATCCCATGGAGCCCATTCGTATGAAACTGACTGTAAAGACTTTGGCTCCATGGCGATTAAACTGTATTCGTGTGGTCTGAGTGCCATTCACTTAATAATGTGCACTCAGACCTGAGCTATCTGGGGATATGTTACATGTCTGTGTTTTGTGGAATAAATGTTACTTTGTGTATTTTAAAGTATAATGCTGGTTTTGTGTCCCCACATGTGTAATGGAGTTTTGCCTTTGTCTTGGGAGATAATTGAGTTACTTCCCAATTATCTCCCAGGGCAGAGGGGAGGAAGCCAGGATGCATTGTGGGAGATACTGTGACTGTGTGTCCTATTTGTCTAATTGTCTGTCCCTTGTCACAGTCTCCCATTTGGTCCCCTAGGGGAGTGTCCACCAGGTGGGAGACCTGCATAAATACTGGGCAGGTAGCCCTCATTAAACAGACCACTGCTTGACCCTCAACACGGAGCCTTGTCTCGTCTTTGGGGGGATTTACTGTATGCTGCTAAGGACTGATTGCCAGGAGTGTAAGCCGCTTGGGAGCTTTTCCTGTTCGTCTGGTAGCAGCAATTCGTATGGTTCCTGTTCGTGTATTTGGAGTGCTACCTTATTCCCTTGTATGCCGTTCGGGAGTTTGGAGCATTCACTTGTATGCAGTTCGAGAGTTTGGAGCATTCACTTGTATGCAGTTCGAGTGTTTGGACCATTCCCTTGTATGCAGTTCGAGTGTTTGGAGCATTCCCTTGTATGCAGTTCGAGTGTTTGGAGCATTCACTTGGGTTCGGGAGTTTGGAGCATTCACTTGTATTCAGTTCGTGAGTTTTGGTGATTCTACAGTAGCTGTGCCTGTCTCTGAAAGGGGATTATCGTCTAAGCGTTTTTTTTTTCCCTTTTGTGCAAAACGGTCCGTTACACTCTGCATGCTAAATAGCAAATCCTCTATTGACTTCAATAGGCAAATTATTATTACTATCTTTATTTTTGATCAGGTTTTCTTACTGATCAAGTTTGCTATCTTTGTCAAGACTGTGAAGAAGCTTTATTTAGGAACCAATCAAAGTAAAAATGAAGGGGGTGGCCGACTGAGCTGTGGTGAAGTTGTGTTCCTGAAGAGCTCCATTTCATCCAAGGATCAAATACCTTTAAATCGCACAAAAATGCTCAGATGAATTAGATTCTCAACATTACCCACCAGGTGACAACATAAAGCATAAGCATAAAAAGCTTCGACAACCAGAGGACTTGGAGATTCCAAATATTCTGCATTCCTTTTAAAGGGCTACACCACTGGCTTCCTCAAATACGGCACCCAAGGCTCAGAGTGGAGTGGAGGCCTCGGAAAACTCCTGTGATGAGGATGAAATACTTACCTTGCGAATGATATGACTATGAGGAGTCTAACCCTGATGAGGACTCATCACCTGCCATGAATAAAGACATAAAAAAATTACTTTCTTGACTTGAGGAATGTCCTTAATACCAACCTCTTAGAAAAACAGACAGAAAGTCAAGGCAGTTAAATCCATGTAGGATGCACAAGACAAAATGACTGCAGAGCACCCAAAGCCAGGTTGACAGCCTGGCCCAACATGTCCTGAAACTTACCAGAACCGTAACATAACTAGAAGTGAGGTATAGACAGCAAAGCATACACCTCTGGGCTATACTGGAGGTGGTGGTGATGAATAACTGCCTTTCATCCAGCGACTTGTTGCCTCTCTTGGCATTAAAGGAGGCTCTGATCCAACGATGCTGCTTTCTGCTTTTTGAGTGCACAAAGCTGCAACAGCTACAACAGCTGCAATGTAGACACCCAGAGGTACAATAGAGGTGAGTAAGGATGCCACTGTTTGGTCCACCATCCTATCCGGCTCCATAAAAATCCGCAATATTTCCTTTGATGGCTGCTCATTTATCCCATCCGATTTGCTTTGCTGATGGAGAGGAGACAATTGGCTATGATTGCCAGATAACCAAGAGATGCAGCGATCAAGTAACACTGGCTTGTTGATGACTCATTAATGATCACACATGAAGATACCTCACTTACTTTATCCTCATCTGGAGATGCAATGATATTTCTGCAGAAACTGAACAGAACACATTTTTGCACAAAGGGGGTCCAAAAGCTAGTGACTCAGATATAACATATCCTAAGGGAATGTTTTTTGAAATCACATTTCTATTTTTTTAATTTTTGAGCACAGTAGAAGCACAGTATGACCTAAAACTGCTTCAAATGGGTGTGTAAATACCCATCTCTGCATACTGTATTATATATATATCATTTATCCCATCCGATTTGCTTTGCTGATGGAGAGGAGACAATTGGCTATGATTGCCAGATAACCAAGAGATGCAGCGATCAAGTAACACTGGCTTGTTGATGACTCATTAGTGATCACACATGAAGATACCTCACTTACTTTATCCTCATCTGGAGATGCAATGATATTTCTGCAGAAACTGAACAGAACACATTTTTGCACAAAGGGGGCCCAAAAGCTAGTGACTCAGATATAACATATCCTAAGGGAATGTTTTTTGAAATCACATTTCTATTTTTTTAATTTTTGAGCACAGTAGAAGCACAGTATGACCTAAAACTGCTTCAAATGGGTGTGCAAATACCCATCTCTGCATACTCTATTATATATATATGGAGTCATAGTTTGAGAGTCAGTCCATATACCTTTAATTCCTGAATTTTACCATTTATTTTTCATTTTCTCGTTCTTTTTATTATATCTCTACTACCATCATTTATACTAGCTATAGGCCAATTGCTGTAACTCTAGCTTAACCACACTACATATTTTGGTCTTACATATTTAGAGATTGCCTTATTCAAGGTAAAATGTGATTGCGATCTTTGCATGCCCATATTTTGATGTCTATTTGATGAATAACTTGTATTTTGAGAGAACAAACTCCAATAAAATGAAAATTGAAAAAAAAATGCAATTGGGTTGGTGCAAGGTGAGCTTACAATAGTAACTTATTTCACATACTCTGGCTTTAGCATGTTTAGTATGTTTTCATATCTAATATTTTAAGATATATAATTATAATTCCATTAGTTATAATAATTTTAGATTTCATAATAAACAGAATCACAATCCAAATCAATATGTGAAGGTTTCAATACCTTGGCAGTTTATGTAATTATTCTTAAAAACAGCTTCTTGAAGCTTTCTGGGAAGGGGCTTGTGTAAAACACTTTAGGGTATGAAAAGTCAATTGCAGAACTGCTGCATAGAATCTGTTAAAAAAATTTGTGTACACCTTAGACTTTCTTTCATAATAAAAAAAAAAACTTGAGTGTGTAAATGTATATACTTTTGTTATTGTGAAAAAAAATGCATATTTTATTTTTAGGAAAATTGGAATTAATTCTGAATACGTATTTTAGGAAACTATACACATCATCCAAGTGTACTATTAATTGTACTAATGCATTTAACCTTGTGAGTTTAACACAAACAATGGCCACAAGGCTACCCTAGATATACAGTTGTTAAGCTGATTTTATACATATATCATCCTATTAGAAGAAGCTTAAGGGGATCATAGTGGATCATTTGTATTAATTTGTTCTTTGGGCTTTCTACGTGTGATGAATTGATTGAGGCATACATTGGTATCAATATAATCAGTCATGTAAGTCAGCAGTTGTGGTTTTCTTTTAATGAACTAAAATATGTGCACAGATAATGAAATCACATTTTTCACTGTCAATGAATTTAGAGCGGTTTATATACTTAAAAGTGTAATGTGCCTGCAAAATAACATTTATTGGTTAGCTTATGCAATACTGCACAATAAAAAAATAAAGTTATCTACAAAAATCCATGGATTTACAATTTCATATTTTAAAAAGTGTGTAAGAAGCTTTGTACCCTATGCAGAAATCTTAATTGTCACTAAACGTGGTATTCGTTTTAGACCCAATTCCATTTTTTCTTACCGTATATACTCGTGTATAAGTCGATCTCATGTATAAGTCGAGTGCAGTTTTGTGACAAACAATTGTGAAATATGCTATGCCTCGTGGATAAGTCGAGGGTAAATCTTGAGGCTATGAAATTCTGTGATTTTTATAATTATATACACACACACTCATACAAACACACACTCTGCATTATATACGCACACACACACTCATACAAACACACACTCTGCATTATATACACACACTGTGTATATAATGCAGAGTGTGTGTATGTGTAGTGTGTAAACTGGGTGGGGGGAGGGCATTTTTATTATTTTAATTTTTATTTATTTTAATATTATAATTTTTTTATTTAAATTTTTTTTTTGTACCCCCTCCTCTTTGTTAACTGGTCAGGGAGGGGAGCTATCTTAATCCCTGGTGGTCCAGTGGATGGGCTGTGAAGTGGGGGGGGGCAGCAGGAAGCATTTACTTACCTTTCCTGCAGCTCCTGTCAGCTCCCTTCTCCTCCGTTCCGGTCAGCTCCACTGTAAATCTCGCGGTCTGGTTGCCGTGCGGATCGTTGCCATGGCTCTGACGGCCGCGGCTCTCTAAGTTGCCATAATACAGACAGTGACTCGAGTATAAGTCGAGTGGGGGTTTTTAAGCACAAAAAATGTGCTGAAAAACTAGACTTATACTCGAGTATATACTGTAATTTAGGACTATTGAGGAATCAGCCAAAATTCTGCCAGAATCTCACACAGGTCTGAACATTCATTTCATTTGTGACTTGTAATGAGATGTAATGGAGAAAAGGCTTTTTTTTGTTTGTGTTTTTATTGTTGATTGGAAGAAAATAAGCAGCTTGGTTTCATATAATTGACAAGAGGTCTGTATTATCAGATGGACAGGATCTCTTGTCCAATCTAGAGGTAGTAAACAAAAACAAAAAAGATGATTTATGATTAGGTGACTCACTAATGTTGATTTTATTCACAGATCATTTGAAGTGACCAATAGAGAGGAAAAAAGAAGGAGGAATACAATGACAATACTTCCAAGCAGAAGTCTTCTAGACACTTGGAATTCACCTACTGAGGAAGACAGACCAGCATCGGTGTAGTATGTTTACCCTTGCTATTAAAGGCTATAGTGAGCAGTCAAAACATTGTTAAACACAGATCTGCTCACCAGTCAAGTCATAAGATTTGTGTAACAGATCCATTATACTCAGACTGAGTATGTCTAGTATGAAGCTCCCAAGTTCCAAGCGCAAAAATGATTATAGTGAAAATAGCTCCCAATCCCGCAAACATGAGCCAAGACTTTATGAAGGGGTAAAAGGTTGTGTTTAATCCAGGCTCAATGGCCTGCTTTTTTTTTACAAGGACACAAAAAACACACCCATGATACTCCGACAAACACATCCACAAAATGTCCCCAGAATGCCATGTCACCATGACTAGACAAAAATAACAATTTACAGAAAACACACAAAAATACATAATTTGCATAAAGGAGCCCCATAGTTTATACATCCCCGGATATCTTGGATCTGAGCGCCCAACATATACAAAAAGCGCTCAGATCCCACAAACACAGCCGAATCGCCACCGGGGTGAAGTTTTGACCGACCGCTAGTGATGCGCCTGCCCAAAATAGTTCCACAGTTTTAGAGGCAGCGGTCAGTCATGTTTGGGAGTTCCAAAATGTAAGAAAAGGTGAATGGGTCCCCTGGCTCATTGGTAGCGTTTGTTCGTGAGGTCCATCCGAACAAACCCCTGGCTTGTTTTGCATGGTTTTACCGAAGTTCACACCATCGAGTGTCCGCCTCGGAGTTCCAGACAATTGACGACCAAGTCCCGCTGCCTGCTTTCGTGTGACAAGATGGCAGCCGTTTTCTCCACCACGTGGCATTCGGTTACACTAACACGGCCACACAGAGAGAACACTTAATTCTTGCGGTTTCTTTGACTTTAATGAGCCAGGGGGGTGGTCGGTGTCCAGTGCATTATAATTTTGAATCGTAGGAGGATAAGAAAACCAAAGTTTAAACAAACTCCCGAACTAAAGAGGCGAATGGCTCTGGGGAAGGCAAAATAGGGGTTTTGTCACAATTTGCTTTTCCCACAGAAATCTCAAATTTGCAGTAATGATACTACTGCAAGGAATTATTGGTGGACAAATGCAAATTAGTTCAACAACTAAATGCCTCATTATTCAATTTTACACATGGATTTATTGGAGTTTATGTTTGCATTTCTTCCTGAGTTGTGTTTCAAAGCTGTTGTATACAGCAATGCCATGGATTCTGAGAGCTGAAACACCTATTCATCAGCTATGAGGACTTCTGACACCTTTGCCACGGCTGCCTCCACCTGCACCACCCCTGAAACTACAACCTCTGCCACACTACTATGAGAAGTATTCATCAACAAAAAAAGAGAAGTACACTGGGAGGTGGATAAATATACTAGTTTATCACAAAAATGGGACAACTATTCCCAGGAAGAGAAGTGGCAATATATATTATGTAATTAATCCAGCTCCCTATTTGAGGGGTGCTATTAGCCCTGCTAACACACTATGTTTACACATACATACAATATTAATAGGACAAAAAATATGAAAAAGTTCTAAAAAAAAATAATTAAATGTATGGAACACTTAGGTAAATTGGTTAAGTACCTATTGGTGTTTTTTGTTCTCAATCATAGCAAGAGAAGTGAAGTAAGGCAGAACAGTATGTAGGTTCCCCAGGGCCAGCCCAAGGATCGAAGGATGAAATGCTGCCCCCCCTCACCCCGCCAAACCTTGTGCACATCAACAAGATGCAGTGTGTGTATTGTATGCAATGTGTATAGTGGATACAGAGTCTGTGTGTAGTGTCTTTGTAGTGGATGTTGTGTAGTGGGTGCATGTAGTGTGTGCAGTGCGTGTAGTGGATGCAGTGTCTCTGTGTAGTGCACGTAGTGTCTCCAGTGTGTGTAGTGCATGTAGTGTGTGTATATATATATATATATATATATATATATATATATAAATACACACATAGAAGGCCCAGGCTCCACACCAGGCACTTTATAGTGTACAGGGGCAACAGAATGCCCCACTGCTGCCAATGGACGGGCCGGCCCTGAAGTTCCCCCATGTGTCTGCTGGAGTTGATGCTAGGTATAGAAACAATAAGAGTGAGGGACTGCATTTAGACTAGCCTAATTTAATAAATGCAATGCTTAGAATAATCTGAGTAGTAAATGAATATCCTCTTGGGCGGATATTTTTGAGTAATTTGACCGTATTGCTCTTTTAAGTGCTTTATAGAGAATACAGTATATGGGGATCACACAAGTGATGCTGAATGGCTGAGTGAACTTATTTGCTACCCTAGATACTGGTCTTTTTCCTTATATGGGTGATAAGTAAATAAGGTATTTCTTTCTCCCTTTGGGATTTCAGACCTTTTTTATTTTTCTCTACTCACTGTAACTTTGAAAGCGTTACATTCTAATAATAATCTGAAGCATGAGTTTATTGGAGTGTTGAGTGAAATAGCTACAGAGTTTATAACTTTGCAACATTTATAATACATAAATAGCGTCTGTTTTTTTCACTACAAATATATTATTTAAGGTCATCTCTTTGTTCACCCACCTCATTTAAAATTAATTATATTACTCCTGTTGCTGCTGACGATCCCCCTGTTTTCACTCCCTGTGAAATTGTCTTGTAGTGTTCATTTGCAATTGGGATAGTTAAAAGGGAATTTTATTTTTCTACACTGAAGAAAAGTCACCGATACTATAGATTGGATGCATGGGAAAACATTCTTCTTCTTAGGGTGTATGTATCACTTATTGTATCACGTATCACTTATTCCCAATCACTTTTAACTTTTTTGTTAAATTGTGTCTAATGGTCAAATTTCAATGGGAAAAAAAAACAATAAAACTGTAATAATATCATATTAAGTTCATGCTTGTAACACACAAGTGGCAGTGTTACAAACGGAACTTAATATGATATTATTACAGTTTTATTGTTTTTTTGCATAGGGTTTTTTCTGCATAGGGTACAAGAACTTGAACAAGACTGTAGCATTGTTATTTTGATACTATTTTTTAATACATTGAAATATGTTTATGAAATCCTTTAATCCTAATTCAAACATAATTTGTTTAAATTTCTAATTTACGTTTTCATTAATTAGATTTCACTGTTCTCTGATTGCATTCTAATGTGATTGCAATCAATGTGTTTCTTATTTGAATGCATTATAAACTATTTTAGTATATGTGACGGAACCGCTGGCACCCCGACCAGTTACCTTCCGCCGACAGATGCTCCTAGTGCTTTCCGAGGACTCCAAGCACTCTGCCCGGCACCATAACCACTGCAGACCGCACGAACCGCCGCAGCTTGGTTGGGGTCTCGCCGTCTCCACCCACTATGGACCCAAGACCAGGGTCCAGCTCCCAGAAAGTCGACCTCTCTCGGAATTCCAGAGAGCAGGAACAGGAACAAGCTCTAAGCAGAGCTTAGTGATCATACCCTGGGGAGTATAGTGATTATAGCAATCCCCAGAGTGTAGTTCTCCAATCCCCCAAACATGAGCTGAAACTTCATGAAGGTACAAGATGATCTCGGCTTTTAATGACCACACACTGGCTTTTATGCAAGTCCCCATGCAAGGGGACATCCCACAGGGTGGGACACAGTACAACCAATCTCACAATGGTTACATCCCACACATCTCCTCCCCTTAGCCTGAGAGGTAACCCAATTATCCATACATTTTAAAACGCACATTTTACCCGACTTTCATAACTCCAAAACTATACATCCAATATTCATAAAACTTACATATTATTATTCAGCATACTTTAAATATAAACATAACCAAAAATCAGCCAAATCCATCCAGGGGTTAAAAAGTTCGCTGAAGGTCCCTTTATGACCGACCGCAAGCACATTTTCCTGCCCAAAACAGTTCCATAGATTTGGGCTGTGTGGTCGGTCTATTTCAGGCTGAATGGTACTTAGTCTCTGCGGCTGTAAAATAGTTGTGGGAGAAGGTAGGGCTCGGCGGTGTTCGCGGAAATGTGTAGCCGATTTTAGTTCCATGAATTTGGCTACAAATACCGCTGACCTCGTACGAATGATCAAAGATGGCCACCGCCACGTGTTCGGCAAATGAACAAAGGCAATTTACCTTAACCGCAGCTTCTGGGAGGTAAATTGCCGACACACTCCCAATACAGGTGGTCCGCCTGTGTGGTACTTGGTTCAGTAAGCCCCATTTACTGAACCAAGTGGGAAATAGCTAACCAAAGGGTTTTAACCCGGTCTGGGGACACAGAGGACACCGTCTTAAAGGGGCAGTGTCCCAAACAAGTCTGGGGACACCGTCTTAAAGGAGCAGTGTCCCAATCTTCCCGATGCCCCAAAAAGGTGCTTAAAGGGCCAGCACCAGTCCCATAACCCACAAAGCAGGTCTTAAAAGGGCCAGCAGCAGCACAATATAAATCCATTAGCCCAAATAAGGTTTGTAAAGTGCCATACAACCCAGGGCCGTAGTCATGAGGCAGGAGGCTGGCACTCAGGCTCCTCCAACAGCCAGGGGCAAAGGGCAACTTGTCACCTAAAAATCAAATGACAAAGGCATTTCGTCACAGTATATTTTTAAATAAGCAGATTTTGGGGTCTATTCACTACACTTTCAGTTACTAATGAAGTTGTTCTATTTAGGTCAATATGGCTTGAAATGTAAAAATGCATGTGTGCATAGTCTTAACTATACTATCATGCACTATTATGATGACAGATTATGTACTCTTATTATTATTATTATTATTATTATTATTATGATATTTATAGAGCGCCGTCAAATTCCG